TTCCATCCGAAGGAGAAAAAAAAAAGAACAATAATACTAGAACAACGGCATTACACCGGCATCGTAAGTTGAGCAACCCCAACTAACAAGCTCAAACATTACAGACCAAGAGTAGAGGAGGAACAAGTACAAGTTCTTTCAGCAGACAGGACATCCAAAGCTTCAGGCAAAGGTTTAGGGTGTGTTTGGTTCCCGGTCAAGGTTGGATGGGATATGGCGGTTCATATTTTTCTGGATATGGCGATCCAGTTTTTTGTTCAGTGGAGTGAATATGGCGATCTAATTTTTTGTTTGGTTGTAGGGATGAAAGTGGATATGGTGATCCATTTTTTTTGTTTGGTTGGGGGAGTGGGATGGATGGGTGGTTACAATCACCCTTCCATTAGAAGTGGTGAGTTTACCCCTCCAAATTCTCTAAACCCAAAAAATATTTCAACCTACTAAAAAAATAAATAGAAAGAAAAAACAGAGCGAAATAAAAGGGGAAGGAGAAAAACAGAAAAAAGAAAAAAAAATCTTCCTCTCTCGAAATCGCTGGCCGCCCATCGCCTCCTCTCTCGCCCTCGCCGGCCGCCGCCGCGCCTCCTCTCTCCCCGGGCGCCGCCGCTCTAGATCCAGTCGTCGTCAGCGCCTCCTCTCTCACCGGCCACCGCCGCGCCTCCTCTCTCACCCGCCGCCGCCTCATCTCCTCTCTCCCCGACCGCCGCCGTGCGTCCTCTCTCGCCGGCGCGGCACGCCGCCCCAGATCCGGTCGCCGTCAGCGCGTCCTCTTTCCGTCTCTTCTCTCACCAGCCGCCAAGCTCTCGTCCCACTGCCGCCGCGCTCGTCGCCCACGCCGGCCGCCGAGCTCGCTACCCGCCGTCGTCGCCTCCTCTCTCGTCGCCTGGCCTAGCCGCCACCGAGCTCGCATCGTCACTCGCCCTAGCCGCAGCCAAGCTCACGTTGTGGTGAGAGGGGTGACGCGACCCACTGTCGCTCGCCCGGGCGCTCGGGCGGCTGCATCCGGCCGAATCCCCCCATCCAACATCTGGGGGGAATATTCCCCTCTGGGCCGCCCTATCCCACCTCCGACCAGGAACCAAACACCCAAAAAAAAAATAGGCCGCCATGTCCTATCCACCCATATCCATCTAAACACATCCTTAGTAGAGCAGATAGCTTGTACTTTTGAGCGTGTCTCCTTGCCCTCTTGTGCTTGATTCTATTTGGCAGGGCTCTAAGCCTCTGCTCCAACTCCAACCACATATCTTCTGAAGCTGGAGCTTAACTAATCGGTTTTAGTTCCATTAAAAAAAAAGCTGGGCTCGCTGGTGTCACACCCCGAAGTTCTCCTCCCAAGCCTAAAATTTAATTTATAAGAGACCCTAAGAAAATACCGGTGCAAAGCAAGAGTAAACCCTTTTAAATCAATGCAAATAATAATCGGAGTGGGCATGTGGAATTTTTCTTGAGTTCTACATGTCGAAATTCACTAACAGGATTTTTAGTGGAATTTTCAGAGCGCTCGAAATAATTTTAACCAATTAAAATTGAGCAAGTAATAGTTTAATTCCAGGGAAAATTCTTTTCTCCTTTTTCTTTTTCTTTTTCCCTTCCTTTTCCGAATGGGCCGCTGGCCCAATCTCTCCTTTCCTCCCCCTCCTCCCTGCTGGGCCGGCCGCAGGCCGAGGCCCAGCCAGGCCGCCCCGCCGCCCTCCTCTCCCGAGGTCGCCGACAGGTGGGGCCCACCTGTCGGGTCCTTCCCCAACCTCCCGCCGCTCCCACCGCGCCCGCAACCGCCGCCGTGCCCACGTCTCCGCCTCCTCCGGGCCACGTCAACCACGCCCGCGCGTGCACCGCGTTCCCCGCGCCCACTCCCCTCTCTCTCCCGCTCGCGCCCGCGCCCGAGATGGCCGGGATTCGATTTTCGAATCCCGCCTCTCTCTCCTCCCCCACTTCCCCCACGTTGGCCGGCGAAATCCCGCCTCTCCCGGCCACGTCCGGCCCCCTCTCTCCCTATTTAAGCTCTGCCGTCGCCCCTTCTCGCTTTTTCCCCATTTCGCCGAACTCCCTCGTGCTCCCCATCGCTCCCGCGCCGTGCAACCACCCGCCGCCGCCGTTTCCGCTACTCCGGCCGCCGTTAGCCGCCGCACCGCGCCGTCGCCGCCGTCGGGTTCGCGTGGCCGAGATCCACCCTGTCCACCCCTCCTTCGTCGAGGTCCGCCGCCGGAGCGCCGTTCCCATCGTGCGACGGTGGGGGTTGCCATGTCCGCCGCCTTCGGCCGGCATTCCCGTCTCCTATGGCCCCTCTCTTCCTCTCTAATATCTTTCTTTTCGTTCTTTAGGTCATCCCGGTCGCCGTCCGCCGCGTGTCGACCTCCCTCTGTCGCTCCTCGTCGCCGGTCGCTGCCGTTCCCTCCGGTGAGGACTCCCTCCCCTTTCCTTTCCTTCCCCGATTCCCCGTGCGTCGCCGCCGCCCGCGCTCGCCGTCATCTTCGGTCGTTGCCGCCGTCCGCTGCCGCCGCTTTCGCGTCGCTTTTGCGCCGTCGCCCCCGCCGCCGGGTGCCGTCGCCGGCAACGCGTTCGCGCGCGCGTGCCGTCGCCGCTAGCCCTGGCCGGCCGGTCGGCTTTGATGCCGAGCCGAGCCCGGCGGCCGCCTCTATCGCCGCCCGTCCGATCGGCCCGAGGGCGATCTGGGCCGTCGGTCCCGTGGACCGGCGGTGGACCACCTGCGTGGTCCCGGTCCACGGTGAACCGCCCCCCTGAGCCGCTGACCAGTGGGCCCCGCTTGCCGGCGCTGCCCCCCTCCGTGCTGACGTCAGCCCTGGGAATTATTGCGCAATAAATGATTTAAGGTTTTTCTTTTATAGTAATAAACATATTGAATCTTCTAAAATTCATAACTAATTCATCCGAGCTCCGTTTAAGCCCATTCAAGTCTCAGTAAATCAAGAAAAATGTGTAGAATCCATTAAAAATGGTTTTGTTCCCTGTTTCAGTAGTCTTATAGCCTGTTTGCAATGTTTGCCTTGTATGTCGCTAGATTCCGTTTCCTCCGACGCTCCGGTGTACTTCGAAATAGTCGCCGAGGTTCCTCCAGCAGCAGAGCAAGGCAAGTCATGCTTGTCACTTGAACATGTCGATCCTATATTGCAAATTCTCTATTGTTTTCCTTCAAATACTGCATCGTTTTATAATGTTACTAAGGGGTGTTTACCTATTGTCATAGCCATGCTATTGTTGTACCATGTCCCTTTGTCAGCTTGGGGTTATAACATGACTAGAGATTGGACTAGGGATTGCTTAGCCATGCTTAGTTCAACTAGTGTCACGGCCTCTTTCCGGTATGTCGTGGTGGCATGTCGGCGCACGGAAACGTGTCGTGGGGCTGTGTCTTGTGGGTACAGTTGTACACCTCTGATCAGAGTAAAACTATTCGAATAGCCGTGCCCGCGGTTATGGGCGGTCAACCAGATTCACCGTGATTAGTTTCACCCTAGTGTAATCTTTTGAGTTTGGATAGTTTAGGTGGATGGTTGGGCCTGTTGCAACGTGGGATAGCGTTGGACAGTGGATAGTTAATATTAATTAATTATTACAACTGTTTAAATCTTTCAACCTCTGTTTATAAATGCTCGCTTTATGCAAATGAACCACTCTAGCTCTTCTGTGATAATTCCCTGCATCATACCCCTATTCCGGTATGACTTGCTGAGTACAGTGGGTAGTACTCAGTCTTGCTCTATTTTTTTCCCAACCCCAGAGTACGAGTATGTGTCAGATGGAGGTGTCTCTGAGGAGTAGGCTTCGTCCGTGCCGTCGAGGATGCCTGTGGAGTGGTGTTCCCGCTGCAGTTCTAGTCAAGGCTTAGCTCCTGTTGTCTTTCTTTTCTTCCGCTGCATTTATGTAAGACTTTTATGATGTTTGTAAGACGTGGATCTGAATATCAACATTGTCGTTTGTGTACCCCGGCCGGTCCTGGACGGGGATTTTAATGCACATTCTACTTGGAATTCTATTCGGGAATTTCCGGGCGTGACAGCTGGAGTGGCTAAAAAAATTAAACTAGTTACGGGATAGGATTTAAGCCGCTCTACAATTATGTTCCAAACTCTGCTCCTAAAGTTAAATTTAGAAGTCAACCATATCAAACACGCCTTTTGTTTGGTCATATGTTAAAAAGTGCCAATCTCTCGTATGTGTACTGTACTTACAGTACCGGATGCGAGCAGCTACAGGTTTTTACCTTCTTGAGATCGATTTGTTAAGTCAATAATCGTTGTTCTTCTCGGCTATTTCATCGTATTACTATGAATTAATTGCTCCACATCTCTAAAAATACGTTTCTTCAAAAAAAATACCTATACTGCATTGTTTATACTACTTTCTCTCTAAGTTAAGCATTTATTAAGCTCATTTAACAAAATAATTAAATCAGCCAGCTCTATAATTAAATAAAGAGAAAAAAAATCCAAGAAATACCATTGACAAAGTGTCCAATTTCTAGAAATATTATCGACAAGTATGAATTCTATGAAATATCATCGTACAAGTGACTTTATCCCAGAAATACCATCGCCGTTAGGGTTACATCTATTCCATGCCGTTAAATGCACTGTTTATCCTATAGGATTTAACGAAGGGCTGGTAACGAAACCCTACCAACAATGGCATTTCTGAGCCAAAGTCGCTCATACGATAACATTTTATAGAACTCACATTTGCCGATGACATTTCTTGATTTTGTACGTTTACCAATGTTATTTCTTAGATTTTTCTTAAATAATAGTAAATAATTATAGATAATCTGTAACGAATTATCCGATGGATAATCTGTTTCAAACAGGCTCTAGACCTTAATGGGCCTACCGAAATGGGCCCAGAGACAGGATGACGAGACTGACTGTGGGCCGTGTCGGCGTGGGCTGCTTGTCACAGCCCAAAGTAAAGCAAATCCGCCAACTTCCAGAACGAAGCAGCGGAAACGCGTTCCCCTTCGCTTCCTCCCGCCCGCCCGCCCGCCCGCCGCCGCCTCCGCGCGCCGCCGCCGCGGCCACATGCTCCCCCGCCTCCGCGTCCTCCTCCCCGGAACCCGCGGGCTCAGCACCGCGTCCCCCGCCGAGGCGGCGCCTGCGCCGCTCTCCGCCGCGGAGCTCGAGCTCCTCCTCCGCCGCGACCACTACTCCGCCTCCACCCGCAGGTTCCACTCCTTCCTCCCGCTCCTCTCCCACCCTTCCCTCCTCCTCTCCTCCGCGCTCCTCCTCCGCCGCCGCGCCCACCCCTCGCTCCACTCCCCACCACCCGAGCCCCCTCCTCTCGCTCCCGCCGCCGCCGCCGCCGCCGAAGCGATCTCCTCCCCATCCTCCCACCTCCGCCTCCTCCTCCCCTCCCGCGTCAAGGGCCGCCCGCTCCCCGTCCCCACCCTCCCGCTCCGCCTCGCTACGCTCTCCGCCGCATCCGCCCTCGACGCCGTCTTCGCCCCGCGCGCCGCCACCTTCGCCTACCGCGCCCGCCACGCCGCCGTCCGCTACCTCCGCTCCATCCCCAACGCGTCCTGGTTCTTCCGCGTCGCGATCCCGCGACAGCCCTTCGGCCCTCGTCACGTCCGCCGCCTCCTCAGCGCCATCTCCGGTAAGGTTGATGATCCAGGCTTCGTGGAATTCCTGCGCGAGCTGTTCGCTTCCGATGCCGTAGCGTTCGAGCTCGGCGGCTGCGAGCTTGGCCGCGGGCTCCCACAGGAGTCGGAGCTCACCGCCACGCTGCTGAACATATTCTTCGATCCTGTCGATAGAGAGGTGATCGCCATCCGTGAGGAGGTGCACAAGAAGAATCCTAGAGTTAAGGATGACAGTGTTCTTCACACGCCTGTGAGAGTGTACGCGGTGCGGTATCTCGATGAGATGCTGGTTGTGACATCTGGTTCGAAGATGCTCACGATTGAGGTGAGGGATAGAATCCTTGCAGTCCTAGAGAGGGATTTGGAGGTGAAGGTGGACAAATTGGGGAGTTCAGTTCATAGTGCGGAGTCGGAGAAGATGGAGTTCCTTGGTATGGAATTCCAAGCGGTACCACCATCAGTCTTACACCCACCCATGTCAGAGAAGGCAAAGAGGGCAAGGAAGATGTATTTGAAGCGCAAGGCGGCAAAGGCACAGGAGCTGAAGAATGCTCGGGAAACACGGAGGAAGAAGCTTGGACTGAAGATATTGAGCCATTTGTTCAAGAAGGTGAGGCGGGGACATGAATTCGAGTTTGATTTCCAGATTGAGAGTGAAGTGCAGCAGCTGTTCAAGGAGTGGGCAGAGGAGGTTGTCACTGAATACTTCAAATCACCAGAGCATTGCAGATATTGGCATCGATTGCTCACTTCAGGTGATTTTTTGTCATTGGCTAGGGTGAGAGACCAGTTGCCACCAGAATTGGTGGATTCCTACGACAAGTTTCAAAAGACACTTGACAGGTTCTTGATGCCCATGAGAGACCGTGGTACATCTGATGAAGAGGAGAGGCTAGCAGAGGAGGAAGAGAGACAGTATGAGAAGAGGACTGTTCAGGACTTGACAGAATTGAAGATGAGGGTCAATGCGCCAATAGAGCTGGTAAGGAAAGCAGTAAAGTTGGCTGGGTTTACAAATTCCATGGGACGGCCACGGCCAATCAAGCTACTAATCTGTTTGGATGATACAGATATTATCAATTGGTATGCAGGTGTTGGGAGGAGGTGGCTTGATTTTTTCTGCTGTTGTCGGAATTTCAAGATGGTCAAAACTGTTGTTAGTTACCACTTGAGGTTCTCCTGCTTCTTGACATTGGCTGAGAAGCATGAATGCACCAAGAGGCAAGCAATTAGCCATTACTCAAAGGATTTGAAGGTGACAAATGACGATGGAGTGGCTGAAGTGCACTTCCCAACAGAGCGCGAGATCAGGATGATGGGTGATAAGAATCTATCTGATCCAAAGCCTGTGGATGGAGCCTTGACAATGATCTTTGTCAGATTAGCTGTTGATGACACCACCTATCCATGTGTGGCACATTTTTGTGCTGAAACAGACACTGTGATTTATCGAATACGTTTACTCCAGAATCGTCTAAATGTAGATCCTCTGAATGAGAAGAAGTGGGTCCAAGGGCTAAGTGCCATTCACGAGAGTTTAAACAAGAAATGCCTCCCTTTGTGCCCCATGCATGCAAGTGATCTTCTTCTTGGCAAGATTACTCTTCAAGATATTGACTGTACTCGATTTGTTGATGTGGAGTAAAACACACTTGCATAATACCTCTTGGGAACACATGTATCATGCATTTATTTGTGGTTCTTGCCAAGTGCATCTAGTGTTGATTGCCCTTGGTGGAGTGCGTCATGGTTAGATCCATTACAGTCCTGTCATGTAGTAGAAGAAATGCTGGCTTTCTTTTCCAGAGGTATGTGTTTCATGGAAGCTTTGAAAGGCTGCTTAGCATCATCACGTGGATAACTAAATATTATCTTATCTTCTGCCCAGGAATGTTGCTACTTACTAGTGTTAGCGTAAATTGTATGCGGAACAACTTCATATCAATGCTGCTCAGGTATTTCTTTCAGTCAACACCCCTGGACCATATCACGCACTATATTTTTTATACATCATATACATATATATATATATATATACCTTGTAAAAGTGAACAAAATCTAGTTAGCTTACATTTCCAATCATATAACAGCTTATTAGTCATGTTACCTCTCTTGCGGCCATCAATACATCGCGTTGCCCAGTTGCGCACTTGCGCTCATATCATTGAAATTTGTTATCAGTTTTAACTCTGAATTGCCATGAATAAGTACCTGTCATATTAGCGTGAATAAGTGCATATATTATGTTCTTACTTTGGAAAACCTGTTTTATTGACTACGTTCACAGGCACATACAGATACTTGCTGTTGATTACTCTTCAATAATGTTGAAATTATTGGTGCAGGTTCTGTTTTCTTTTCCTCTCGACTGATTATGATTGTGAAATGTTATTTGTAGACTTGTAGTACAGAAATTTTAGCCATTATCATGTTATGAAATCTGGATCACCACTGAACCACAAAAACTTATTAACAAATATGAACAATTTTCCAAGTCTTAGCTACATAATGCATGTTCTTTGTTGACCTTACATGCTGAGATGGATCAAATTAGTGCATGTGATTGTCCTGCAACCTATGCATACGATAAATATTAACTAACTCTCACTCCTTGTGCAGTTGGTTGATTCTGTTATTGATTTGGCAAGAAATCTCGTGATACCAACCGAACTGATTGTTATGGTCAGGATGTATCATCATGATGAGGTGCTGTCATCCATGGTCAAAGTGGTTTCCTGCTTCTATCTCACATGGCCATGTAGGGATATCAGCATGCTAAACAGGAAGCTGTTCATGATTGTTGTCATGGTCTTCTTGACATGATAGTTTTCCAGACACTCCATGATCTCACAGTAGCTACCGAAGCTGCCGCAGCATGCATCTAACAACCATCTTCAGGTACGTCACATCAGCCCATTGTGCAAACGTGCTGCGTCCTGCATGAGACGCCTAATTGACTGTTTATCTGCTTTAGATGTTATATCACCGATTATTAACAGGATACATGGGCCCTAGTAGCAGAGCCAGACGTTGATGTTGCATTTGCAGTTGGACATATCACAAGATCATATCCATCGTTTTGAGAACAGGGTGATAATCTCTGCCGGCAACGATGATTTTACATGATTGCTGATCTACGCAGGCTGGCATTGGCTTCCATGAAATGGACGACAAGGCAACAGGTCCATGCCGACGGTGGAACATATTTGGTGGTGTCCGGAGCACAGCGGCCGTCGACACCTCGTATGCACAGGACCTCGATCAAAGCCTCAAAGGCAGGCAGATTGCGACTGCACGGTCAGGATTACATTATGCAATAGTATATCACAGTGAGTAGAAATTAAAAACTAAAGGAAGCAATGTTACGCATCAAAATTAATTTATTCTTTGTTGGGAGATTCTTGTCGCTTGCATACATTGGTGAAGTTTTTCTGGGCCGTGTCACAGACACCCAGTATTCCCTCTGTTACTGATGAAGGGAAGTCAAATGTTTGCAGCAAACAAAAACAACACACACAGTTGCATCTTCTTAAGTTATCTCTGCACAATCATTGAGTTCTAAATCCACAGGCTTTGTTTCAGAACATATCATCCCAACCAATGAATCTCATCCTCGTCTAGTTGCCATGTTCTTGTCAGAGTTGTTATCTACCATTTCCATTATTCCATTGTTTCCTAAACTTCGCACCTTGCAGTTTTAAACACGAATTTTCTGAATGGCTAAGCTTCAGTCTCTTTAGTAATTTTATTTTCCAGGGGCGCGACGTTTCACGTCATCATTGGGAGGAGGCACCGGGCGAGTACAGCATCCGGATTTCGAACTGATTTAGTGGTGGGCGCACGTGAACTTCAGCGCATGCCCCACGCTCGCTGCGCTACACCCCATTCTCCCCAATGACCAAGAAATATAAACAGATCATGCCATATTGCAAGCCAACCATAAAATATTCGAGGTAAGTGTAAATAGCAGAATTCTTCTCTCATCTTCTAAATTAACCCTTTATTTTGAACGTGACATTTTTCTTATACCTATACGAACTAAGGCCTTCTTTAGTTACTAAAGCAAAAATTTTCATGCTATCACATCGAATATTAGGACACATGCATGGAATATTAAATGTAGGAAAAAAACAATTACACAGATTACTTGTAAATTGCGAGACGAATCTTTTAAGCCTAATTGTGCCATGATTTGATAACGTGGTGTTACAGTAAACATTTGTTAATGATGGATTAATTAGGCTTAATAAATTCGTCTGGTAGTTTTCTGGTGGAATCTGTAATTTATTTTATTATTAGACTACGTTTAACACTTTAAATATATGTTCGTATATCCAATGTGACAACCAAATCTAAAAAATTTTCCCGAACTAAACAAGTCCTAAATTGACTGTCTTTGATACTAGTACCTTTTTCAGTCACTTTTCTTTAAAAGATTCTTGTGTTCGAAAAGTTGGTTTAGTTAGTAACTGTAAAATAAAATGTGCTACTTTACTACAGTGGTGTGTAATGCAGTTTAAAATATGTGCTCTTCACCTTCCTGGAAATCGTGGAGACTGTACGGTAGCGTGGTCCGATGGCCAAAATCACGTGGCCATTTGCTGTAATAATCGTAACAACCAAGGATAGCAAAAAAAAAAAAAAAAAAACTACAACCGAAATTAATTAAAGTTAGCAGAGGGTGGCAAAACTAAAGCAACACGCGCTTAGTATAAGTCGCGCTCGCGCGAGTAGAGGTGGTGCGTGTCAGCGTGTGTTTGCCTCTTGTGGGAGGGAGAGGCGAAGCCGCGAAGCAGGCAGAGCCGGCGGCTGCGCGTGCCAGCCACGGCGAGGCTCGGCGGCGGCAAGCCCCGGCGGCCGGCCGAGCCGTGCGGCGGCGGCGGCGAGGCGCGGCTGCCCGGGGGGAGGCGGCGGGCGGCGCGGCAGCAGATCGGGACGCGCGTCATGGCGTGGTGGCGCGCCAGGGTCGTCGCGCCCGTGCGCCGCGCGTGGCTCGCCGTCGCCGCCGCCCGCGCGCGCGCCCGCAACGGCGGTAAGCCCACCGCCCGCGCCCCCCAACTCTGCTCATACGTAGCCATCTCCTATGCGTATTCTGTTGTTGTATAATTGTAGTTCTTGGTTACACTGGTTCGAGAGTTCAGAGCTGATTGCAAGAACTGATAAAGCAGCAGAGATAATAGTAGGATTCTGCGCAATGCAATCGAGTTTCACGCCTCTGTTCTTCAGTTCTTGTATGTTAGACTGGAGATTTTGCAAAGAAAGATGGGATTAGTTATAGCATCCACAGATCTAGCCATCTACCCGATGCTAATGCAGAAGCTTCAGGCTTCAGCTTACTAGAAGATATACAGTAGATTGGTAGAATGGGAGGGAGCTAGCCTCTGTGGGTGTCTTGCAACCAAAAAGAAAAAAAAATCGCACGGGAAACAAACAAATCGATCAGTGTTCAGTACTGGTCCATGAACTCCAAGAATCGTTGTTATCTTTTGCTTCCAACCTCACATTGCATTGGACCACCCAATCTGCAGCCATTACCATCTTTATTCTCACGGATTTGCCATATAATTCTGACGAATTTCCTGCCAAACATCTTCAGAATTCTCTCTTTCCCTTACAAATATGATCGATCGTCAATGCAGAGCGTGGCATCCTCGACCTCCACCAGGACGTGCAGACCTGCGGGTACGAGGACGTGCAGGTGATGTGGAACATGCTCAGCTCGGAGAAGGAGGCGGCGCCGCCGCCGCCGCGGAAGCGTGCGTTGTGGCGGCTGCGGCTGCCGGTCTGGCCCGCCGCCGTCTGGTCGCCGCGCGGCCGAGGCATGCAGCAGCGTGAACCGAATCCTACTGCCGATTGCAACTTCGCCATGTAAAACGGAGAGAGGGGCATCTCTTCCTCTGCCTGACTGCCTCTGCAATTGAGATGTTGCAAGATACTGTGCCAAATTGCTCAATGGCTCGTGATGGCCTGATCTATTGTGTACAAAGACTCTGTATATAGTTCAGGGCAATGTGTTGCTTTCTCTGCTGCTCCGGTGCTTTCGGTTGGTTTTCTGACTTGTGATGCGAGATGCAGCAGATTCGGGTGGCTATTCAGTTTCGATAATCGAAAAAAACAAGAAAGAGATAATATCGATTAGTGCGAGTTTTATAAAATACTCATATTGCAAGTGACTCAAAGCTATCGTCGTTAGAGTTTCATTAGTAGCTATCCGTTAAGTGTTTTAGGATAAACAATGTATTAAACAGAGTGGAATGGATGCAATCCTACTGGAATAACATTTTTATAACAAAATTATTTGTACGATGATATTTTATAAAACTCGCACTCGTCGATGGTATATTTTGAATTTGCACGTCATTTCCTAGATTTTCTCTTTGGATAATATAAAACCCTCATCTGGATATTTTTCCTAGACTTTCATTTTAATGTGAAACTCAGACATAAAGTTTGTACATCTAATTTCACTATCGTACGAATGCACAGAATAGACTCAACCATTAGTATGTTGGTGAATAATCTGAATTCTACCAGTGGATAAAGGCATCAGCATTTCGATTGTTGTGAAGTGTGACTTTTTCTTTTTAGAGAGGGCGACCTTGTCCATGTCCTTGTTGAGTGACACATCCTGCTAGTTATTCTGCCGACTCAGGTTGCGAAATGTCTTCAATGCCCTGCAGCCATCTACACATGGAAGGCCTATTTATGGGCTCGTGGCCCAACCTATTTATGTTGGCCATACAACGGCCCAGTAATCTGCCGTTCATGCTTAGGTTGGCGTAATCTCTACAGCCCTGCACAGCAGCAGCGGCCCAGAAGACCTCTGGTCCAGTTGTTTCTGGCTTAAAAAGGCCCCTAACTCACAAATTATTCGCCCGACCAAATAAGCCTAAAATACTTTTGAGTCATTTCAAGCCCCGAGCTACTAAAGCGTCTCACTTCACTATCTAATAATATTTTTTTTGTTTGATATATATATATATATATATATATATATATATATATATATATATATATATATATATATATATATATATATTCTCTTGGATGATAGACGCCAGCCTATCCTATGGAACAAAGTACTTCATCCTTCCAAAATATAATTATTTTTTTACACATTTCCAAATATCTATCTGGACGGAGGATGCCAAAATACATTTTGAGAAACTTGTAGAAATTATACATTTTGAAACACAAGGAGTAGTTTTCAGAAGAAAAAAATTGTGATAGTTTGCATTTTACACGCGAGGGCTTAAATCGGTCTATGTTCTTACAAGCTACGTTGCCATTTCGTCATACAATGTTTCAACTTAAAATATAAATTGTGTCAAGAAGGAAAAAAAATGTCTTACTCCCTCCGTTTCACAATGTAAGTCATTCTAGCATTTCTTATATTCATATTGATGTTAATGAATCTAAAATATATATCTATCTAGATTCATTAACATTAATATGAATGTGAGAAATGTTAGAATGACTTACATTATGAAACGGAGGAAGTAGCATTGAAGTGAAAAAAAAACAAAAGTCTAGGGCTACAGTCCCTTCCCAAAATAGTTCGAATGCCGTATTTCCTGAATCTCTGAAATTAACTTGGGGAAGGAATAGTTTTTTTTCTCTCACTTTAATACTACCTATGATATTTTCATTTTTTTTCCATCTTGATACAATTTATATTTGTCCTCTTGAGGAAATGCTTAGATACGAGTCTCACCGAGCAACCACTACACCTCTACAAGTTCTGCCTTTACAGAGATCCCTGTCTTCCGTCCTCTCCCATGGGACATGCACCCAACGATTTTTTGAAGGACATCGCATTTCCCTCGTGTCACAGCCTCACAGGCACCGCTTCCGTGAGTCCCCCTTGATACCCCTACCCCTCTCTCTTGAGTTGCTGTCCACCCTCTCTAAATCTATTCCCATGCCACCTTTTGTCGTTCACTAGTGTCTCTTATGCCTCCTTTGTCACAAGCGGTGTATCGTTTTGACAAAGCAGGTAGAGTCGGACGTTGGGAGAAGCGGTGATCCTCAAAGGGGATGAATTTTGTAGCGTCAGAGCTTGAAAAAGGATATGTGTGGAGGTGATGGACCTATGTGAGGCACACGATGACTGAGGCAGAAGAAAGATGAAGTGGCATCAGCTAAGGCCTACATCGTCGTCGACGGCGTTGCCTGCTGAGGTTAGGCCCATGACAGTTGATCACTGCCTCGTTGTTTTCGATATCACCTACCGAGGTTGAGCCCAGGGAAGAGAGGAAGAGAGAGAGTGGCGTTGTGTTGGTAGCAGCGCAAACTGTCGAGTCGGGGATGAATGGAAGTTGTGAGAAGCAGGATTGCAAATGTACGCCATATAGAAGTATAGAACCAAAACTGTTCCGGATTAAATAGGATGGTAATTCGTTTGGTTTGAAGAGTTTAGGGTGTCAATTTGTCAGGTATTTAAATTAAGGAGGGTAAATCGAAATATCGTAAAAGCTCAGGAGGTAATTCAATTTTTTTTTGTTTCTTTTTCGTTTTCACCCCTCGGCTCCTGCTAGCAATGCGATACTGCAGAATAGTATCCCTACATGACAACACCCCGAGTCCAACCGATAAACAGAGCACACTGCCACAGTAGTCCAGTAGTACCACCAATTGACAAAGTGTCAACATCACCCCACTCCACATGGTGAATGCACAACAACGCTCCAATCCACATCACCTCAGCACAAGGAAGGGCAACAGTGGCATCCTACTACAAATTTCCAACTGAAAAGTCTGAAATTTAACAGCGCTACTCCTACAAAGGGTGTATTTAGTTCACGTCAAAATTAAAAGTTTTGTTGAAATTAGAACGATGTAACGGAAAAATTGAAAGTTTGTGTGTGTATGAAAGTTTTGATGTGATAAAAAAGTTGGAAGTGTGAAGAAAAATTTTAGACTAAACCAGGCCAAAGATGAATACTACTACTAGTCACTCCCTTAACACGAGCACTCACTATTTACAGCTAATTATTTTTCTAGTGTTAAGTGACTTAATCATCCTAATTAACTATTTGCCACTTTTACGAGTGGTGCTAAATTATTTGCTATGAAATTCATATATCATAGACGAGGGCTCACGTGTTATAGACGGTGAGTGGCAAATAATTAATTGCCGCATCTTAAAAGTTTAAAAGTGACAGAAAGTTAAATATCCCGTAGTATTGTGCACACGGTGTGTATATCTACGTTTTTACCGTGTTTCTTAGGAAAAAAAAAGATGAATACTGCTCCCTACAGACTGTACTCCAGGGGCAGCAACCCAGCAAGCGAGTCGAGGGAGGATCAATCTCGATTTCGCGGTGGATCGGCCGAGTCGGTCCAAACGCTGCAGGCCCCCCCGCCCGCGGCATCCGCGGCTAGCTGCCTGCCTGCCACCCCAGAGTCCGTTTCTGCATGACGTCGCTTGCTACCTCATCTGCTTGCTACTGCTGCTGCCGCCGCTGTAGCAGTAGCCATGGCCACTCACTGCCCAGCTATCCTACACTCTACTGCTACCCAGCAAGCTCTAGCTACTGCAGCCATGGCGATGGATCAATCCATTTTCAATGTTGATACAGAGTATATTTTCCGTGGCTGTTTCTGGGGGGCTAGTAGGAGATCGATCAGGAGAGACGGCCGTACGTACGTCCGTGTGATCGACGATCCCCCCATATCCAGGAGGATCCCCGGGAGCTTTCACTGCTCCTATGAATACCCCAAGATATGATTGAGATTGATCCCCACACACATGCAATCACATCTCTCTCTTTCTCTAGTCTCTCTCCTGTTTATCGTTCGTTCGTTGCATTGAGGGGGATGGGGGTAATTGATCTAGTCCCTGTACTGTCGCTGGTATCTGCACACACACATGCGCAAGTAAGTACGCCGCTTTATTGCCCTGTCCTGCCTGCCTTATTATTAGATGGAGAGCTACCCAATGGGACGGCCAGGGTGATGAATGTATTGTGTGTGTGTGTGTTGCTCTTGGTGATCTTGGAGTTAATACTGCAATTAACTGGGCGATATATGGGGGCGAAGCCTTTGCCCTAGGGTTGCATGGGAAACACGGTGTTTTCGCGCCTTGTTTGAACATACCACTGTGATTTTTTGTTTGCACAAATTTACCTAGTAGTAGTGAATAATTATTATCCCGAGATATATAGTGGTGGAGCCAGGAATTTACGCAGACTAGGGCTCAACCAACAAAGACTAAGGCTGTGTTTGGCCCCCGCGCACGCAAAATAGAGCGATTTATGATTAATTAAGTACTCCCGCCGTTTCAGGTTATAAGACGTTTTGACTTTGGTCAAAGTCAAACTACTTTAACTTTGACCAAGAAAAAAATAGTAACATTTTCAACCCAACACAAATTTATTATGAAAATATATTTAACTATTGATTTGATAAAACTAATTTAGTATTATAAATATTACTATATTTGTCTATAAACTTAGTCAAACTTAAAATAGTTTGACTTTGAGCAAAGTTAAAACGTCTTATAACCTGAAATGGAGGGAGTGTTTACTTTTTTTTTTGAAAAATGCATTACCAGATTTTTTTTAAAACAACTTTTGTATAGAAACTTTTTTTTTTGGCAAAAAACACATCATTTAACAGATTGAAAAGCGTGCGCGCGGAGCACAAGGGAAGAGAGTTGGGAACACAGGCTGCCGAACACAACCTAAGGCTCAACCAATTCAATTTGTTGAATCTTGGAACTTTCCATGGATACTTATTAGTGGATTTACAAAGGATTTATTAAGGACACAAGCTTAAGGCGCTCAAACCCTAATTTCCCAAGATTTGTCTCCGCCCCTGGCACTCGCTTACTCAAGATTGGTGTCCCCACATCCTTTGCCCCCACTCGATCCACATCACACCAATACCATTCTAACCTTAAACCGTCTTCCTAGCTATCTCTGTTCTCATCCTGAGATTACTACTCCCTCCGTTCCCAAATGTTAATGCTCTAAAAATGCTAATATTGTCTACAGAGTTTGAAACCTATATTGTTTATATTTAGGAATGTAGGGAGTATATACCACGCATGCCCCCCTCCTCATGTTTACATCCTTCCTCTAACACTGCTTGATTGTATTTTGTTGGGGTGGGATGCGTGTCTGTGTAGTGGCGTAGTGGCAGAGTTACATAGAAGGTTGTGGGGTCAGCTAACACCACGGTTTTTTTTTTTTCGCAAACTCCCTTACAAGTCGGCATTTTTTTTACATATAATTAAATAAATTATTCTTTTTTTTAAAAAAATGACGCACTACAATATAAAGTAATGCTATTTGACCTTAATGGCAAAAACAAAAAGAGAGACTCCACCACTGTTCCTTCTCCATCAATAAGGTTTTAACTAACATGGCATTGCCGCATTGGCACCAAGAGGTTTTGAATTTCTGGCCGGGCTACGTAGTTTTGGTTTTGAAGTGCAAATGAATTAATTGTTCGTCAATCATGTTTTAGGCCTAGACTACTCAAAAGTGGTGTGTCAAATTAAAGTATAAATAAGTTTCCATGCCTTCTTTTAGACAAACTGACTGATACATTCAATCTAATGAACAGTGCCAAACAATTCTTTCCAGAGGGGTCCCAAAAATTAATAAAATCTCCTCACGTTCAAATTAAAACTCCAAGGACGTTATATACAGTAGAGCTAGCACCCTAGCTAATTAAGAAATTTGTACGATGGCCTAGTATTTATTACACTTGGATCATTAAATCATAATTATCTGGTGGACCCCACCATAAGACACTGCTGCCATGCTACTAATGTAGGAACCGGTTGCAGAATTAATTAATGAACTCTCTCAACATGCATGCATGCATATGCCGGAGTACGTACGTAGATGTGTTCAAAGCCAGCTTCGTGTGAATTTAAGGTTCATATATAAGCACAGGATCTGTGGGGCCCTAATTTTTTGTTTTTTTTTTCACATGCAATAAATGTGAATCACTCACCTGCACGGTAAAGAAAAAACAAGAAGACACTTCTACTATTGACACGCAATGCGTGGTAAAAAAACATAGAAAAACGAGGAAATGGAAGATTCGAAAAGATTATGCTGTAGTAGTAATAAGATGTTGGGACCTGAAACAGTGAAACTCTGATATCTGTTAATTAATTGCATATATAGGAGCTTTGCATATGCATGATAGAAACAACAACAATAACAAGAACAGGTACAACCTAGCTTCATTGCAAGTTGCAACAATAATATTGAAATTAATAACTAAGATGAGATGAACAAGAACACACTCACTCACACACACAAACCACATTATTCCCCAAGTGAAACAGAAAGCTGCTGAGAAAGAAGGCATGCATGCATGCTGCTTGCAGTGCAACAGGGTAGCTAGAAAGAAAAAAAAGTTTGATCCTAGCTGTTGGAATCCTTGCTGCTTTTCCTTTTTTTTTTACCTTCTTTTTTGCTCCTCTTTTTTTTTTTCTTCTCTTCACTTGGTTCATGGCTGATGCAAACGTACTGGAAGTTATACCCTTTTCTGCTCTCCCTTCTTTTTTTACTTTTAGCTACACAAGAGGTGAAATGACACGAACACATGGTAGGATCGAGTAGGAATTGAAGTAGCTAAGCTAAGGTAAAGCTCTACATGAAGTCGACCTCGAACAGATGCATGTTGTTGTTGTTGCCGCCATTGTTGTGGCTGTTGTCGTTGTTCTGGTCTGATACCTCGCCGTTGGTCGCCGTCGACGGCAGCGCGCTGGAGCACACCGACGAGCACGACAAGATGTTGTTGCTACCGCCGCCGCCGCCGCCATTGATGTGGACCAGGGAGCTCACCTGCATGTGGTCTTGCTGGTGATGGTGGTGGTGATGGAGCATGGCGCCGATCTGCGGCGCGGAGCTCTCGTGCGGCGGCGCGCCGCCGAGCGTGAGCGCCGTCGGCCTCGCCGCCGCCGCCGCATGCTTGCCCTGCTCGGGCAGGCAGCTGATCACGCTGGTGTTCGACGAGATGGGCGACTTGGCCGCGCTCATGGACACCACGTCTGCATCAATTAATCGATCAGTTCATGTTAAAAACGAACGGCAGAGTGTAGCAGAGAATGCAATCTTTTTTTTTAGATAATAGAATAGAATCCCGGCCTTTGCTCAGGTAATACAGCCAATTATTACAGCTATCTAGCGTCATCGATTAGAGCTTACTCTTGTTGTCACCGGTGTAAGACGTGGCGGCGCCGCCGCTAGGCTTCTTCCCGGCGGCTACCGGCGCCGCCGCCGCGTCCTTGGCCGCCGCCACGGCGGTCGTCGCCGCCGCCGCCGGCTTCCGCCGGCGACGGTTGTGCTCCGCCAGCCGCTTCCGGCAGCTCCTCTTGGCCTCATCAAACTCCGTGAGCACGTGAAACCTATCCAACACATGTACGTACACCCACAATGTCACAATTCTGTAGATTAAAACGTGTACATCACACAACATACTATACGTAGTACACTATACGAATAATGCTGCTGCATTGGTCAATGCGTGGATGGGATGGCAGTAACAGCAGCAGCAGCAGCAGAGATAAAGAGAGAGAAAAACTCAAAAAGAAAAGCATATCATGCAGGCGACGCAGAGAGATACGCACAGACCATCGTCGCATCGTGGCAGTGCAGAAAGAGAGGAGGAATCAAGAAAAAGTTGGCAGCTACTAGCTCGCAGCTTTTCGTTCGATTCCTGCGCGATTTTCCGCTTGTCTCTCTCTCTCTCTCCATCGATCCCGAGACCGGTCATGGCGAGAGAAAGAATTCAAGAAAGCAAGTACAGCGAATCATGGCGACACGCTGTAGCACGGTGATGGCGGAGCAGTAGCTTACCTGCTGCATTGCTGGCAGAAGCGCTGCTGCTTGCCGGAGGCGGCGACGACGGAGGCCTTGGCGTGGTACTCGCAGACCTTGTGGCGGCGGTGGTAGTGCTTGGCGCCGGAGAGGTCGGCCTTGCAGCCCTCGGCCTGGCAGCGAGGTGGCTGGTGGTGGGCGCCGCCGAAGCCGAGGCCGAACACGCCGCCGAGGCGGGAGCGCATGAGGAGGCGGTCGACGGCGAGCATGTCGCCGGGGGAGAAGTAGGTCCGGCGGCCGAGGTTGAGCCCGATCCTCCCGGCGGCGGCGTCCTGACCTCCGCCCCCGCCCTCGCGCTTCACGATGCCGAGCGCCGGGTACACGTCTCCGGGCATCGGCATCGTCATGGGCATCTGCAGCGGCATCGGCATGGGCGGCGGCGGCGGCGCCGCCATGCTCGGCGGCAGCGCCAGCAGCTGCGGGTGCGGCGGCGCGTCCTGCCCGCCGCCGAACTGCATCGCCGCCGCGAAGTCCAAGCCGTCGTACATGTGGTGGTGGTGGTGCTGCAGCATCCCCGCCCGCTGCGCCGCCGCAGCCGCCGCCGCCACCGCCGCCGCGCCATGGTCGAACCCGACGTACGCCCCCGGCCCCGGCGCCTGCATCGCCCCGAACGGGAACGGCGACTCGTCCCCCGCCGCGTTCATCCTACCGCTCATCATGCCCGCCTCCTCCTCGCCGCCGCCGTCGCCGTCGTGGCGTGGTGGCTTCCAACGAAGTGGAGCTCGAGCTAGAGTGAGCTAGTGAGTGAGGTGGCTAAGCTAAGCTAGTGTGTGAGCTTGCAGGAGAGGAGGAGGAGGGGTTGCAATGCAGGGGTGGTTAAAAAGGCAGAGGAGAGAGAGAGAGAGAGAGAGAGAGAGAGAGAGAGGGAGGGGGTAATAACTATTGGCGTGTTGGTTGTCCGGTAGTGGCATGTGTCCGCCTCGCCGGACGTCGCCTCGTCACGGCGCCATTGCTCTTTCGGTGCAACAAGTCGCCATGGCTGTTTTGGAGAGAGAAAACTCACAAACACACACCCACCCCCCCTCTCTCTCTCTCTCTAGTCTAAGGCTAGTTTTTTTTTCTTCGACTTCAAACTTGAACTTCTTTTCTTTCCGTTAGCACGCTTTTTCAAAACTGTTAAATGGTGTGTTTTTTTAAAAGAAATTCTATACATATGTTGTTTGAAAAATTCATTATTTTTATGTGCTAATGAGATTTCTCGTTTCGTATACAATGAAAATCTCTCTTCAACTTGAAGGCAACGTTCGATAGAATGAGAAAGAAGATTTGTCTTGTTCTTCACACGCTCTATTTTTGAACGGTTAAAGAATGTGTCTTTTTTCTTTAAAACTTATAGGGTAGTTATTTTACAGAATCATATTAATTGATTTTTTAAAATTTAAAATAATTAATACTTAATTAATTATATGCTAATAGCTTATCTCGTTTTGCGTATCTTCATAATTTTATCTTTACTTCTCCTCTCAAACACATGTTGTGTTTGATTAGAGGGGATGTAAAACAAAGTAGTGGGTTAACACATAATGTATTAGCCTAGAAACTTACAATTTTTAATCAATATGATTTTTTAAAAAATCAAATCTCCTGTAGATTTTTTTTAGAAAAACATACCATTTAGCAGTTAGGAAATGTGCACGTAAAAAATAAGGGATCAGGAGTTGAAAAATGTAGTATAGAACACCAGAGAGAGAGAGAGAAGTCTTATTATTTCTATTTCTTGTTTGGAACTATTTTGAGATTATTTGCAGGAGAACAGTGTGGAGGATCATATGGGATTTGTGCATGCCAAACCAGCATTTGGCAATTGGCATATATGTGTTGTAGTAGTATATAAGTTTTGGCATTTTGCATACTACATGGATGTGGACTACTACTGCACAGATAACCCAGCCAGGCGTCTCTGTGTTTGCTGTGCAGAGGAAAACAGAGAGCATGCAGTTGCAGGCAGGCCGGGCCGGCACAGCTGATGCAATGGTAACTGTGTTCCCGGCCATTGCACATCCAGTCCCATTTCTCCCTGTCCGGAGCCTGGACACCCTTCCCAATGTTGGTTCAGTAGTACTATTAATTAAGAGTTGTTAAGTTAATTAAGACAAATATGTACATATAGTCTTCATATTTATAAGACAAATGTTTTAGAAATTATTTATGATTCTAAAATTTAACATTAAGCTAGCTTGTTCTAGACGATGAGTATTATCAACCTGAAAGATGTATACACTCGAAACTCTCTCGAGACCTGGGGTGAGGGCAGAACTTAAGGCTTAATTAGCCTTAGGATTAGCTCTTATGAACCCCATATTTCACACTCTCACTAATATATGTGAGTCGGCCATATTGAGAGGTGCCGAATCCTCAGTTTTGCCGCTTGGCTTAATATGCAGCACCAAATGTGCCTAGTTTCTTTGCTCCAAAAATATATAATGCATTGTCAAGTTTGCTATATTAGCTTAGTTAATATACATGTAAAAAGGAAAGTTATTGATAGTGTGGTGTTAGAGTCGTGAATCCATGACTATACTCATCAGAGTTCAATATGCTCTTATAATATTGCATATACGCGATGTATTTCGGTAGAAATTTAATTAAGTTGAGAATTAGTTTGCCATTCGCTTTCATCTCTTTGAGGTTGTATAAAGAGAGTGCACTCGTAGGGTGTCATGCGATGTGTTTTCAGTAGGAATTAATTAATGAGGACGGAGATTTACCATTGCCCATAATTAATCTCTTTAAGTTTTTCTAGAGGTGTGCTTGTATGTGTAGCAGTGTGTATACGTGTGTATCTTTAATGTAATCAGAAAAAAAGTTGGTTAAAACAATATGATGGTTAAAACAATGTGCCACATAATTTACAATGTAAAAATTGGTTTTAAGACATATTTACAACGACAAATGATGCAAATAAAACTGGGAGGAGGATGTCTTGAGCTTGTCACTCCATTCTGTAGGTGGATTATTAATGCTAAACTCAAGTTTTCATGGGTATTACCTTAATTTATATTGGAAAAAACCACTGTGTACACTCCACGCATCTATGTGGCTTGCACCAAGTGGCACGGTTATCCACATGCATATGTTCATAGTGTTGGCACCAATAATGAATTTCTAATATGTCCAGTACAAATTTAAACGCATATATATATATATATATATATATATATATATATATATATATATATATATATATATATATATATATATCCTTAACAACAAACATGCACAACACTCCATATAATGGTCATTGATGCTCCTAATTTAGTTATGGACAGTGAATATGCATGATTGAATAATCCGTAAACCAATATTATTACCTGCTGTGGACTTTGGACGTCCCTCATCATATCTCAAAGGGCAGTACTAATAAATGCAATATAATATGAAATCAGTTTGTAGCAGTGAATTGCAAAACTGAGACAGCAAAGTTCAACAGTGACTGAATTAAGTAAAAAAAAGGATTTGCGCTTCACTTCATTGGTAATTTATCTAATTATGTTTGATTATATCATTAACCAAGATTACAATGAGAATAACAAATTAAAAAATAAAAGAAATTGTACATGGGTCAAGATTTTATTGTTGCTAAAAAACGTACACAAATTTAAAAGATATGCATGTGTATATATACTAGCTAGAAATAAAGCACTTTATCCCAACAAGAAGTTTTTGCATCACCATAGATATATGCCTCAATATTAATAACAATCAATTGAAAAACAAAGTCGGTTCTAATAACCAATTAACACTACTCCATCTGTCCCATGATATAACAACCTATGATTAAATAGGATGCATAGATCCTACTACTTTCATTCATTCAGTTCTAGGTTGCTTTATTCTGGAAAATATGGAGTGGTCCACTACTAGCCAGAGAGAACAATTTTCTAGGTTATTCAACTTAGTGGGTTTCGAGAAACTGTCTAAAAATTGTATTGCAAACAATTTTAAAAATTACAAACACTTTCTTAAATACTGATCATGATGGTTAAAACAATGTGCCATGCACATAATGGTTTCGAATTGTCTGCAATAATGTGTTCTATGGCAGTGTAAGATTTGAAGGGAGGACTCTTGGTGATCACTAATCACTGTCAGGGCTTACTTAGGGACAATAATGCAGTAGAGGTCACAGTTATTAATTAGTATTCAAAGTTACCGAAATGCACAGCTAGCTCCCGCTCATCACCAATTAAGGCTTCGATCTAGCTTGAAAGGAAGACTATTGGTCACTATTAGGAAGCTAGGAAATAAGATCTCTAGTGGTTAATTAGTCTTCCAAAGTTACGAAAATGCACAGTTCCTGTTCATTCATAAAAAGAAATCAATAGCAGTAGTAACACACAGAACATGCATATGCAAGCAAAGCTAAACATTTCACCAGTACACCTTATTTTTTTCTGTCTTTCCACGGCACCCGACATAGATAGGGCTGTCAAAAAAACTCGAGGCTCGCGAGCTACTCGAGCTCGGCTCGTTCTAGGCTCGATTCGAGCTCGGCTCGAGCTCCAGACGAGCCGAGCCCGAGCCTCTCCCTAAGCTAGCGAGCTTTGTCGAGCCGAGCTTGAGCTTCTAACGAGCCTAGTAATATATCATTTTTATTGTTATTTAATAAATTAAGAGATCAAATATGTTATTTGTATATCTTATATTGACATAATATATTTATTTTATTTTTTCCTCTTTTATTAGTATGATAAACTAGAAATTAATTTTTTTAAAAGGTTATCTTTGAAATATATATATTTTTTACAAGCTCGGTAGTCGAGCTCGAGCTTGATCGAGCTCGAGCCGAGCCTGTCGGAAAGCTCGAACATTTTATAGGCTCGGCTTGAGCTCGGCTCGTTGACAGCTCTAGACATAGATACGCTGGAGGACAAGGTAGAGATGCTAACTTTCCCTACCTTTCTTTTCTCTCGTCTGTTTATTTTCTTGTTTTTACCGTATCACTCATGACAATATGCATGACACAATATGTACAGTAGTTTGTGCAGACGAGACAGAGAGAGAGAGAGGGGTAGTAGTAAGGTAAACGGTAAAAAAAACAGGAATGTCTGCATGCCAGGGCATATTAGTACTACCTCCATACCTAATTAGTAGTCGCTTTGACTTTTTTCTTATAACGTTTGACCTTTTGTCTTATTTAAAAAATTAGTGCAAATATAAAAATGGAGAAGTTATAATTAAAGTACTTTTAATAATAAAGCAAATCATAAATAAAATAAATAAAAATTTCATAATTTTTTAATAAGACGAAAGATAAAAATTATAAACAAAAACTTAAAGCGACAAGTATTCTGGGACGGAGTAGCAATTAAACATGCATTGGACGAATGCATTCACTTCGATCTGCACATATTATGCATTCCTTCCCGTTCTTACACATACAAAACGGGCGTACGGCTCCCATCAGGTAAATTCTCCTTGCAAGTTGCATCCATACTGATCGAGTAGTAAAATCTGGTTAGAGCAAGTTTAATAGTATAGCCAACTATTAGCTTCAAATCATCTATAACCAATATAATAGTCAATTCATACAATAGTTGTCTACTATACTATTAATATCTAGCTCTACCTATCATACATACATTTCATTTTGGAGTCCGTGTTGTAGCTGGCTACAGATCTGTAGCCCGCTACTTTTCCCTCTCTTCCTTTATCTCTTTAAAATATGTTTATAGCTGGCTTATAGCCTGCTATTGTACCTGCTCTTATACGTAGTTGCAGACTTGCAGCCTTACAGTTTGCAGGAGACAGTTAATTTTTTTTTCTGCACGATGAGATGTCTGATCCTCCGCGATTGATCGATGGC